GAGCAGGAGGTAGATGTACCTGGAGGGGAGGGGAAGGAGGGCTGGGCAGGAAGGGGAGAGGTCCCTGTGGGCAGGCACTTGAGGAAGGGGAGGGATCAGAGGGAGGCAGAGGCTGAGATGGCTGAGCCTGGGAAGGCGGAGGCCGGAGTCCTGACTTGGGGACAGGGAGGGAGAGAAGGAGAAGACGGGTTAGCTCCCAGAGGGCCTCTGCTCTCTCACGGAGAGGCCAAGCTGTCTTCTGAGATCGGGGATTTTGGAAAAGGAGATGAACAGAGAACCTCAAGACCAAGGAGCCTTCCCAGGGGCCTGGGGAAGGGCTGCAGCATGACTGCTGACAGCAGCCTCCGTTCCAGCCCCGCACCACACAGCTATGGCAGCCCCAGGGTGGCCACAAGGTGGACAAAGGTAGCCACGGGCCCAACGTTGCTACACACACCTCGGAATTCTCCCCAGTGACCCATCTGACCGCCCTGGGTGTCTCATTCCGTAGGATCTGTCCCCAAACTGGCTGTGTGACAAGGAGAGATGGACCCATTTCCAGATGCTTCTGAGAACTAGGGGCTTTAACTAAACAGTGAGGGGGCTCGCTGGCCTTGGATTCTGGGTACGTGCCCCGATAGGAGCACCTTCGCTCGGCTCTCTCAGAGCCCCTGGGAAGGCTGGATACGCGGAGAACAGACAGTGTCGAACGCAGAGCCCTTGCTGGGACGTGGGCGAGGGGACCAGGCATCTGATAAGGGAGTGTACGAGGCGATCTCTCAATACCCTGGCAGCCCTGACATGCTATGAAAAATGCTGCGGCCCCGATTGAAGACAGATAGGCAGTGAGGCGCCAGCAGAGGAGCAGCAGCCCAACCAAGGAGGTCCCACCACTGTGATACACACACGTGCAGGGAATGGAAAGGGCTCTGGTGCTAAATCCATCCCCGGGGCGTGAGGAAGTGAGGCCTCAAGTCAGGCAGCTCTATGTCCTTGTGATTTCTTCCCACATTACACTGTTTGTTTTTTGCTGTTTTTTAGTGAGATAAAATGGATATTGCGGCATTATATTAGTATCAGGTATACATGTAACAATTTAATATTTATTTACCCTACAAAGGGGTCACCACAGTAAGCTGAGTTACCAACTGTCCCCCTTTACCCATGTCAGCCAAACCCCAAGCCCGTTCCCCTGTAAACACCAATCATAATAGATGAGGAAGGGATCCGACGAGAGAGCCCGGGGACCCTGGAGGAACCTGCAATACAGGCACCTCCCCACCCTCAGTCCCGTTTTCTGCGTCCCCAGGACGCGTGGCCCTGGCCTAACTGCGCGTCGGAGATGCCCTCTGCGGACTCATCGCCAAGGCGCGTGCGGCCTTCATCATTTAAGACAGCGTCTCATCGCAGACGGCGAGGTGTCTGGCAGTCACTTCCCTAGACGGATGGAGCCTCTGTCATCGGAGGCCTGTGCGTCTCGGGGAGGGAGGGCAGTGCCCCCCAGCCCATCCGAGGCAGCCCTGGCCACGCGGAGGGAGGAGCAGCCACACCGCTGGCATGGCATCGCGCAGGGTCTGTCGTTGCTGCACATTTTCTGAAAACCAGTAAGGGCCGTCCGCTCTCTACTGACAGGACAAACGCGCCGCCTCCCCGGAAGGAGCCCTTTCCCTGACGGCAGGGGTCTGACAACCTGGAGCCGCCTCCCGTGTTTCCAGGAGGTGCTGCTTGTTCCCTGTCCCCTCAGGTCTGCCAGCCCCTGCTGCCCCAGTTGCCACGGCCCGTCCTTCACACAAGACCTGTCGGGTCCTGGAGGGCCACTGGCATCCCACACCCGAAGGCCTTCCTCCCACGGCTGCCTCGGCGAACACCCTTGCCTGGGTGCAGGGGCCTGACATCACAGGACACGCAGATGCCACGCTCCCCCCGGGGTCTCCACTGTCACTGAGCCTTCCTTCCCACGAGCCAGATGCACCCCGTTGGGCCACTGTGCCGACAGCCGGGTATCGGGCGCTCACACGAGCACAGACTCGACCCAGAGGAGAGCCCAGAGCGTCCACGGAAGGACACAGTCCATCCTCAGCATCCCTGGGTCTGCGTCATGCTCCCTAAAATGCATGTGTAACCCCAAGCCAACATTGGCAGCACTGTCATGGTCATTCACAAACATGCAAGGGGGAGGGGGGTAAATGTTTGACTTACCCCCTCATACACACACAAACCCAGCTGAGACCGAATAAACCTTCTATGTGTGTCCCACACGCAGAGTTGAAGTGCTGGCTATGTTCCTAAGAGCAAGAAGCCGGGGTGCCTCACGGAGCGAATAGGGGTGTTAGGTAGGACTCCTGCGTTAGGGAAGCTCCGTTCAGGCGCAAGTCAGTGCTGTTGACCCTGAGGGCAATGTTAGTGACGTAACAGTACCTGTGAAATAAGAAGTCTTCGAGCGGACGCATGCACGAAGCAGGCTGGGTCCTGACCAGCCGAGGACTCGGCTGTGGCCAGGGGCTGGCAGGAACCTGACCCCGCATTTCCTCGAGGAGCAATGGCTCCTCGGGCCTAATGCAGTGTTCACGGGGACTTTATAGAACATAACTACTGCGAATAATGAGAATCAAGTGCAGATTCAACACAGCAACGCCTGCAATGCCACTCTAGAAAACGCAATGACGTCAACCGAGACGGGGTGTCCCGTGGTACAACCACAGAAGGCCTTCCTCGGGCCACACCCGGGGCCGGCCAGGGCGAACCTGATCTGAGGCAAGAGAGCAGCAGTGCCCTGTGCGCCCCACTCTGCATCTGGATCACGGGTCCTTCCCCTGCCCGGAACCCAGGTCCTTCCTCTAACCACGCTGACAGGGGCTCCGACAAACCCTGATGCTGGAGGACACCCACGGGGGAATGATAGCCCCTCCTGACTCAAGCCCAGGCCTCCCACCGGTGATGCTCGCACTGAAGTCAGAAGAGCAGAAGCAGAGCCCGATGGGGAAGCCAAGTGCCTGCTGCTGGAAGACGGACGGGGAGCAGCGACAGCTCTGGGAGCTACGATGAGTGGGGCCCAACAGAGAGCTTGGCCGGAGGAGCGAGACCAGGCACCCCCTCCCAGGCCGGGCCTAGCACCAGGTGAGATTGACAGCCAACGGCAGAAGCCTGGGGGCAGAGCGGGGAGCCCACAGCCCGCAACAACCTCGGTTTTCCTGTCCTACCAGGAGGCCTTCCCCTAGCCCATCTCTGTCCCTTCAGCTCTGAGGCAGCCTCCAGGGCCTCTGTGCTCCCTTGGGAAGTGGCTGACATTGGGGGGCAGGAGCGCGGGAGAGGAGGGTGCACTGCAGTTGCTGGGTGGACGAAACCGGGGGACCCGGCCAGGGGAACAGCTGCTGGCTGAACGGCCAAGCCAGAGACCCCAAGAGCTGGAGAGGCCCCAGCAGAAATACAGAGTAAGGAGCTGGGACCAACAGAGGGGAGAGGCCAGGATGGAGCAGGGGCCTGAATCCTGACCTGAGTGAGACGCTGCAGGGGCGTAGGGACATGGGGGTCCTAGCGCCGTGGCCATGGGACCCTCAGGGAGTGCGCACTGCAGGCACTGGAGGGGCAGCTGCCAAGATGTCCCCATTCAAATGGTGCTCGGCGCCCTTCACTCCTTCCCATGGAGGCTGGGGTGGCAGGTCTGCCCACCTCAGGGGCTGAAGGCAGGGCAGAGTCGGGGCACAGGCCAGGTCTACGGAGAAGCCCGGCCCATCTGCACCCCCTGCCTCACTGGGAGCACTTTCCTCTGGGGCTGGGTCCTGCCTCTGCCTGCTCCCGGGACTCTGCCCCTGGCGTCCTCCGGCCCAGGCTACTCTTCAGGTTTTGAGACAAACAGGGAGGGTCTCTTAGAGAGGGGGAGGTGAGGAGGTAGCAGGTCACCCCAGAAGGTTCCAGAACTCCAGCCTCATGGCCTATCGCCACACCCCCCACCCCAGAAGGGACAGCACTGTACCCCAGTACTCACATGTGTCGGGGTTGTGGCAGTTGTGCCCCTGACGGAAGTACTGGGGGTTCTCGATGACCGGGATGCGGGTCATGCCGATGACCACCGTGTCGGGCCCGGCGTCCAGCGACGAGGGCGTGGTGATGCCGTGGTTGATGTGGTGCAGCGGGCTGGCCGAGTCCTCCTCCCCGCTGATGACAGCCACGGGACCTGCAGGCGGAGAGACCAGGGCTGGTGAGGCCAGGGGCCAGAGCCCGGCCTTGCCCACATGCCCTCTCACTATTTTTGCTCCCATGTTTGCCAAAGGCGCAAAACCCACGGGAAGGACATCCCCAGATGCCTGGATTCTGCAGTCAGAGGACCAAACTCTACTTCTCCTTCATGAGAGAAAAATCCGCCACATCGCACCATAAATAAACCAGTGAACCGAAATGACTACAACGTAAATTATGTTCCCTTTCCCCAAACCCAAATTAGTTTGAAATAATAAGTTTCTTTGCTTATGTAGCAACAGTAGGATTAAAAAAAAAAAAAAGACCTAGCAGCAGTTTGCACGCTGCCCCTTCTCCCTTTAGGAGCTTGAAGAACTGCCCGGGCCGGGTCCCACCCCAAAGGGTCTGAGTCAAGGGGTCTGGGCTGCAGCCAGGCGTCCGGATTAAAGGCTCTCCTGTGAGTGCCCTGCACACCTGCGACCTAGGACCTCGGTGAGGGCCTTGGGGCTGACCGCCCCTGTTGCGTGCCCCCCCCCCCCCGGGGCCTAAGGAGGAGGACAACTTGCATTGGGCCCTGCCACCCACGGTGCCCAGCCCGTGGGGAGACAAGCCGGGTGAGTCTGGGTCTAGTCGGAACCAGCTTGCACGGGTGACAGTAATTAGGCTCCATCACCGTTACCCACAGGCCCCTGGGCCCCTGTCCCGCTCTCGCAGGATGCACACTCCCTGCTGGCTTCAGAGAACACCGCGTGCGTCTCCATCACCCAACGCCGCCCTTTTGTGACCCCAGGAGAATCCCAGGAGTAAGGCTGTTTACAAACACGGGTTGACAAAGACATGTAATGCGGGGTTCAGTCATGGCGGGGTGGAGCCATGATTCTGTCTGCTGGTGCAACTGTCCCATACATACAAATAAAAGCCCCGTAAAGTGAATTAGCTGCGACTCTGCGGCTTCGTGCCACCGGCGTGTTCAATGGCTGCTCTGCAAGACACATGGTCCCAATTCAAAGCGCCTGCTGGGATGCGGTTTGGCGGCTCGAACAGTATTTCCGCTGCAGAGCCCATTACATAGCCCTCAAGGTGATGAGGGAAGACTCCTCATCAAGCGCCAGGTGAGGCGCCAATGAGGCAGAACTAAATGGGAGACCGCGACATGCACACGGGGACCCAGAATCCGCCCCCCCCCCCCCCCCTCGGCACAGGCAGGCTGAATCCAAGCCCTGACAAACGCCTGACCGGGAAGTGGCCCTAAGCCAGGGGTGGGCAAACTTTTTGACTCGAGGGCCACAATGGGTTCTTAAACTGGACCGGAGGGCCGGAACAAAAGCATGGATGGAGTGTTTGTGTGAACTAATATAAATTCAAAGTAAACATCATTACATAAAAGGGTACGGTCTCTTTTTTTTTAGTTTTATTCATTTCAAACGGGCCGGATCCGGCCCGAGGGCCGTAGTTTGCCCACGGCTGCCCTAAGCAGTGGCCCACACAGTCGTGGTAATCGCTTGCCTTGCACAGAGAGGCCCGTTTCTGCAAACACCTTGTAAACTTTCTGAAAAACGTCACAGTGACTTCCAGTTGAACACAGAGAGCTGAGCACCGGTCTTTACCTTCCCTCTTCAATCTGAAGAAATTAAGCAAATATTTGTGCACAAACAGAAGGAAGAGGAGAGACAGGAGGAAATAAGATACTTCAATGGCGTTTTGAAAGATAAGAAACCGAAGGAGAAAGCTTGCCAGAGAGGACGGAGCTGCTGAAGACTGGGCCAGCGGGACGGCACGGGGAATGTATACAGGAAGCCAGACCTGCCGTGGAAGCCCAGTGTCTGAAGGGATAGGGTGCCCAGAAGTCCGGGGCGAGGCTCAGGCTGCAACAAGTCTCCCAGGCCATCTCCTCACCCCATCCCACCAGAGCCAGCAGTTCAGTCCCACAGAAATTGAACCTGAAGGGCTCAGAGGACGGGTGGGGTACAGCATGAAGCTGCACCCCTTCTTCCTGCTTCTGGAACAACAGAAACCAGGAATAACACTGCCCGCCCACCCGCCCACCCACGCCCATCTCGCCTCACACCGCCCCCGGCAGGAGGTTAGAGAACCCTGTCTGGAGAAACAATGCCTCAAAAAAGACAGACAGCGAGTTATCGACATTTAAGGGGGTCTCACAATGAAATCAAGCTTATTTTTTAAAATATATTTTCATTGATTTCAGAGAGGATGGGAAAGGGAGAGAGAGAGACATCAATGATGAGAGAGAATGATGGATCAGCTGCCTCCTGCAGGTCTCCCACTGGGGATCGAGCCCACAACCCAGGCATGTGCCTGGACTGGGAATCAAACAGGTTCATAGGTCGATGCTCAACCACTGAGCCACACTGGGCCTTAGTGGAGCCGGAGAGTTGACAAGCCCCATCCGTGCGCACAAAGCAAGATCTCATTCACTTTCTGGTGCCCGATGCCTAAGTCTGAATAAACAGCTCAGGACCAGCAGACACGGCAGCAGAGCGTCGGCATGGCAGAAACTGGGGACCTGGAGGGAACAGGCAGTGCCGGCAGCAGAAGGATTTCCACACCATCACTAACATCCTCAGGGAGGTAAATAAAGGCACTGCCCCAGAAGACAAGATGACACTGAAAACGTGAACAATTAGAGTGTAAGAAAGAGTCCTTGGGCCCGGCCGGCGTGGCTCAGTGGCTGAGCATCGACCTATGAGCCAGGAGGTCACAGTTTGATTCCTGGTCAGGCAGGGCACATGCCCAGGTTGTGGGCTTGATCCCCAGTAGGGTCATGCAGGAGGCAGCCAATCTATGACTCTCTCTCATCATTGATGTTTCAATCTCCTTTTCCCTTCCTCTCTGAAATCAATACAGAAAATTTTTTTAAAAAAGAAAGAGTCCTTGGAATGTATGGTCATCAAACTTTGAAAGTCAAAGAAGAATAGGAGATAAAGTCTAGGAAATGTTCCGAAAAGTCAAACAAAAAGGAAAGAGATGGTAAATAGGAAAGAAAAGATAAGAAAATTAAAGTCTCTATCCAAAGATCCGACATCTGATTGAAAGAGAGAGAGAAGGAGACAGAGAAAAGAGGAAAAGGAGAAAAAAGTCATTAAAATTTTGAGAATGAGAAGATGAGTGTGTGAGTCACCTCATTAGCCTCACCGGATGGATGACAGATGATTCAGCGTTTCCTCCTCCTCCCAGGGCCGCTGACCCTTCTGCTCGATTCAACTAAACACACGTCACAGAGACCACTGCCCATCAGCCCGCCCTCGTGCCCAGGCCCTTACCCTCACCTCTGCTCCTTCCATAACCACAGGCCTTAATATAATGGTCAACAAAGCGTACCCAGCCCCAATCCTCTCAAAGGATGGGCCAGGAGACCCTGCAGCCGGCTCCGCCTGCCTGTGGCAGAGCCCCCACCAGGCCTGCGCCAGGCCCGGCAGGGCACTGAACACCCTGGACACCAGCACTGACATCCCCTCTCAGGCCCATCAATTGTAATAAATGTACCATCGGGGGGAGGGGTGTTGGTAATGGGGGAGGCTGTTTATATGTGGGGACAGGGCATATATGGGAGCTCTCTATACCTCCCACTCAATATTGCTGGGACCCTAAAACTGCTCTAAAAAGCAAAACCTATAAGAAATGTACGGGGTATAAAGGCAGCGTCCCCACCTACCAGACAACACTTCCAAATGTCCTTGAGGTGACAGAGCTGCCCAGGTGGAGAGCCACGGGGCGGCTCCAGCGTCCACCCTGGGACCAAGTCCCCTTTCCCCTCTGGCCAGGTCAGGTCAGCTGCCTCCGGGGAAAGAAAACCCAGAGACCGGCAGCCCCTGGGGGAGAGGAAGCAAGTCTCCTCTCACTTTAATAAGCGCAGAGAAGAAGGTGCTAAGGTATGAAGAAGGGACAGTAACAAAGGGAGAGCCCCCAGGGGAGTTCTACTTTCCTGATGCCGCGGGGGCTGGGGCGGCGCAGGAGGAGTCAGGCTCGCTGTGCGCTGAGCGCTGGGCACACAGGCTGTCTCGGGCTGTGATGGGCCTCTCCGCGGTCACTACCCGTCCCCAATCACACACTTACTTTGTTAGGCAGCACTAAGGAACAGAAAGAAAGAGAAACAGGCTGCAGCCCTCCTGGTGGCGTCAAGCTTCTGCGAGAGACCCCTGAGGGAAGACAGGGCCGCTCGCTCGGACACATCACATGACTCTCTTGCCACACTGGTGCCTTTTTGCCTCTCTCAGACCACTGGTCTTGTTCTTCCAACCAGACCACAAAAGAACCACCGGCTAATTAGAGGAATTTATATATATATTTTTTAATTGACTTCACAGAGGCAGGGAGAGGGAGAGAGAGAAACATCAATGATGAGAGAGAATCATGGATCAGCTGCCTCCTGCACACCCCCTCCTGGGGATCGAGCTCACAACCTGGGCATGTGCCCTGACAGGGAATCGAACACTCAAACACTGAGCCACACCAGCCGGGCTAGAGGAACCTTGATGGCCCCCAACAGGTGTCTTGTCTGGCAGGATGGTCCAAGCTGAATTTTCGGCGTCTTTCTCTTTCCCCCCCTGCTCCTTCTAGGGGGAAATATAAGGGAGCAGAGCTGGGAATGGCTCAGATTTTCCTAAGTGGGACTCAGTTTCCCCAGAAAGCAAAGGTCTCTGGTAAGAACACTAGATGGAACTGCACTGCAATAGCGGGCAGACACCCCCCACCCCCCCGCAGAGGAGCTGGGGGGCTGCACGTTGCCATGGGGACTGCATGGACCGGCAGAAGCCTCTGCTGACTCAGGGTCCCTGCAAAAGACGAGGAGGGAAGGGGCGCCCCGCACAGAATGAAGGCGGGAAAAGCAGCGGCCTCCTGGGGATGCATGAGCTCAGGGACACGCAGGCCCCTTTCAGACCAGGGGAGAGCCTCCCTGCAATCATTTCCCCAGTGTCCTTCCTTTTGGTTTTCAGGAGGTTCCTCAAACAATAAAAAATGCGGCTACCATGTGACCCA